TTTGATCTAAGTCAGGGCATGACTAACACACAGATGAAACCCTGAAAAAACCTCTATTTGATCTAAGTCAGGGCATGACTAACTCACAGATCGAGTTTAGCTGATTAGATTTTAAGGAGGGTGAAAACCGCGGAGGACCCGAAAAAAACCACTCCCATAAAGGGAGCCGGGTTGTTTGAGCAACTTACATAGCTTTTGGTCTTTTTCTCTCTGTAGATTCGTCGTCGACTTCTTCTTGTTCTCTTGAATATTCCTGTTCTTTCTGTAGTAGTTTTTCATTGGCCGATTTGAGTGCATATTTTGCTGCTTGTAGCTCTTTTCTCATGTGCTTTAATGCTTTCTCCACCTAACCAATAAAAATATCAGATTAGCTCAACACTCGCTCAGTATAAATACAAAAGTTGTGTCTGATCACGAGTATAGGTTTAATACGCGTTGTGCTTCTCTAACACTTATCTTGTGTTCTGCCAATCCCGACGTGTTTTATAACTACACACAGCACGTGCGCGCGTTTTCTTCAAAAATGCTGTGTTACTACTAATATTCTAAGTAACTACACTCGTCCACTTTCTCTCGTTGGGCATTTTGAGATTTATTACACCGCTTTTTGCCGAGATTTGATTTGCTTTAGATGGATTAGTTAGTTGTTTAACTGGACTAGTTAGTGGCAAAATGGTCAGTAGATGATGCTAGCATTAGTGTGAATTATTTTTTTACTACTTGTACATATTTAAAGAGCTTCAGCGTTCAATAGAAGCACCTTTGATTTGCAAGCTACATAGAATTGCTTATCATGGTGATGATGCTATTACTAGCAACAAGTCCTAGCTCACCTCTGATTTATGCACTGGCTGTCCATCTTGACAGTACATCAGAGACTGGGGCCGACTACTGTCAGGCAACAACGATTTGCGGTTGCTATAGTTACCATCTAAGGGATCATCACTGCTGCAAACGGGTAAAAAATGTTAGTTGATATTATAAAATTATTATTAGAATTGATTTTGAAATTATTTATCCGTGTCTAATGAGTGTGCCATGATGTAATCTTGAGTGATAAGGCCAGCTGTATGAAACAACTCATGAGGGCAGGCCATCTTCATAGGACCATTATAAACTTTCAAATCTTCAGTTTTGTCCATACCCTGAAACGGCATCTGCACTGATAAAAGTCAGGGCAAGTCTAATTCACAGATCGAATTGGGATTTAACGTGTTATGGTTTTGCAGATGGAGGATGAACAATCGAAGGAAGAGAACTACTGACAAAATACAGACAAAGGTCTTCTGTCAGCGACCCCCGATACCATCCCTCTGAGTCAGTTCATGCAAATAAAAACTAAATCAAGACAAAGACAAGATTGAATCATTTAAAGTAACTTGACTAACCTGCTGTTTTCTACACGGTCAGATCCTCGTTCACCACTGGTGTAGGCTCCAGCAGCATGGGACGTGCATTTTGGACATCGCACATTGTTTGTCTGGCTAATGCTTGACAGACTCAAGCTAGTGACAGCCTTTCTAACATTGCGGTGGGGCTTGAAGAGCAAAATGTACACCTTAGGACCAAACAATATGCCAAGAAGAACATAGGCAACCAAAGAAACGCCGACACAAAGGATCAAAGATCTTTCGAGAGACAAGCTTTTCATGAAGTACAAGGCGAGAAAGGCCAGCCAGATCACGCAGGTCGAGTACATAGCAAACGCAATGAACTTGGCCTCGTTGAAGTTGCTTGGTATCTTGCGGGTTTTGAAGGCGTAGAGAGTGCAGACAAGGATGAGGATGAAGTTGTATACCTGAGAAAGCCCAAAATCTAAGTCTCGAACATCGCAGTCTAGGTAGACAGAAGAGATTGTAGGGTAGAACACCTTTGCTTTTGGCATGCGCAGAAGAGTCAACATGAAAAGCAACAGCACCTGTACGCACACCACACCCAGTACCAACACTAATTGTGATGTGGGGAGAATCAAGATCGGACGTTTGGCGATGTTACGGCGATTAAAGATTCTTGAGATGCGGTTTGTTTTGATGAAGATTGCTGCATAGCAGATGCTAAAGGCGATGCTGCAACCAAAGAAACGAATGATGCACATGGCATCACTTGGTTTGATAACCACGATAAATGTATGAATAAAAGATAACAGGATGCCACTGAGGATAAGATAAGAAAGCTCCCGTCCGGATGCTTTGACGATAGGAGTCTTGTCATTCCGAGCAAGCATGATGATCACAAACACTGTTATCACGATGCCAAAACAAGCCAACATCATCGTTGGCACCGAGTAAGCAATATGTTTACCAAAGTACATGATTTTAATTGTTTCGCAGCCTTGGCCATTCTTGATTGGCCAGTAGCCTGCTGCACAACGAACGCATGTTGTTTTGTTCACGACGTAGCTGTTTCCTTTGCACGGGACACATTCCCAGCAACATGTCTCTTTACCTTTGATTGGAACCATGATTTCATTGGATGAACAATAGACTGTGCAAGAAGACTTCAACATTTTGTAACCTGAGTTCTCTAAGAATATGCGGTCGTTCATTTTAAGCTTATTAGCCCACAAACCGATGATGGAATTTCTGTAGATATTGTTGTGCTTTTTGAACAGCAGAATGTCATAAATGCCATCAACGTCACCAAGGCTATCAAATGTAACCTTGTGGCCAGTTGCGCCATCGAACGATACGTTTCGAATATACTTCAGTAACTCTAAACCCGATATGTTGATCATATTTTTACAAAGTCCTGAAGATCCTGAGCAGACGTCAGCGTGCACTGCGTGTAGTGCACGCGCGAACGCATTTACAGCGTCGATCGCACTTGAACTTCTCATGTCGATGTTGCTATTCTTTGTTGTTAGTTTAGTAGAGTTGCTGCACGGCTTTGAAAACGAATTTAACGTTTTCCCCAGTGAACAATTAAAATGTAACTGCCAGTATTCTTTAAACCAAGGGTTTCTGGTATTGGTTTCAGGCCTTAAAGCAGTGAAGTGATCCTCAAAGGCCTTCAACCGTACACTTTTTGGGGAAACCGTTATAGCATTATGGGCCAAATGCTGTAAATCTTTCAACCAGACAACATTTCCCCAAGCATCACTACCAACCCACTGGATCTTACCGACAAGATTGCGTTCGTTTGCAGCTAGGAGAAGACTTTTTATATGGCTTTCTTGGCTGGTAAACACGACTACTGTCTTTGCTTTTGGCTCGGATTTAAGCGTGTCGATGATTTGGAGAAATGTGTCGCTTGATTCTGATGACTTTGTGGTTTTGATCATTTGCGCAGTTGCAATACAAATACCTAAGAAAAGGATATAAAGAGCATTATTTACAAGTAGTGATCAGTCAATACATGTAGTTAATATACGTACATTTTGCAAGAACCATGAGTGGTGGTGATTGGCGGTGGGGCTAGACGGTGGGAGTTTGGAATTTGAAATTTAGTGGCGGGGAGGGAGGTGATGGAGATGGCAAGGGCCAGGTGATTAAAGACCGGGAGTTAACATGCCTCTCGTCATCCATGAAATGTCATAACGAAGGAAATGATATACGTGAATTTAACATTAAAAAAAAGAGCTTGGAGCTTGTTATGTCGGAGAGTCCATCCGACACTTCAACACACGGGTGAAAGAACATTTGGAAAAGGATAGGGCCTCCCACATTCACAGACATATAGTATTCATATTTTAGACACTGCCAACACCCATTTCGCGCTTAAAATTAAAGAAGCGTTACATATCCTCTGGGAGAAACCTATTCTTAATGCACAAGTTAAGCATGTTAACCTTAAGCTCTCCGTGTAGGGTTGCTCTGACTTTTATGTTAATTCTATTGTTCTCGATTCTCATATTTATAGCTCACCGCTAATTAGTCTTACATCCACTGATGATGGCAGAGGTCACTGCCGAAACATGTATGTTAAACTCAAAAGTGTAGTTCTGTTCTTAAAATGCTTAACTTCACTGATCACCTTCAGACCATTTGAAAAAAAGGAATCCTTTAACTAAGGTTTCGGACTTTGAAAGTCTTCTTCGTCGGAGTAAAACTAAGACATGAAGGTTTCCGTTATTTGACAGAAGATGTAATTCTGAGAGGGGTGGGACTGGTGGTGTATAGCTGATAATGTAGGATTGCTTGAAGGGGCCACCAAATGAGATGAAAACCGTATGACTGAGGTATACCGACCTGCTTTCTTGGTTTCCTCTCTAAGTGCCTCCATCCCATGAATGCCGTATGTATCATCACTGTATACACTCGATATATACGTCCAATTAAAATGCTTTATCACATCGACAATGGCCTTGGCTTGGAATCCGTCGTGAGGAACCGTCCGCGAAAAGTACTCAAACTTCTTTTTGTCGCTCAATATAACACTAGTGGAGTCAAAGCTTATTTGTGGAAGCTGAAAAAGGCGTAAAAGATGAGCGATCTGAATGGAAACACTGCTAAAGGACGCTCCAATCACACCCACCACAGAAGACTGCGATGACGCTGGAATACTGGATCCTTGAGAGAGGCGACCGCTGATGAAATGGACTGCTTTGTCCAGTGCTTTTGTCTCACTTGAACAAGTATCGTAAACTTCGATTCCAAGAGTAATGTTAGGAAGAATGCTTGGATTTGCATTAATTTGATCGACTGCAAACAGCATGGCCTCTAAACGTTGGATCCCAAACCTCGAGTACAATCCACCGCACTCTCGCTCCAGAACGCCCGAGGCTTTAGAGTGCATGGGTACCAGTCCTCCTAGTCGAATTGTCCCATCAATCAAAGTGTTTTTATTTGCAGCCTGATTGGTTCCTTGAGCAAAACAAAGGACCAATAAGAAGAAAGCTATGACTTGCGCCATATCTAAAAACCTGGAATATAAGACAACGTAAATGTGAGTAAAAAAATTAAAACTGGAATGGACTATGACTATATAAATATTCAGTATGTAGAAAATCAGTATTTTTTAAAATGCAAAAAAATGGAGTTTAGATGCTTAGACAAACTAGATAATTCATGTGTCTAAAAATATTTAAAAAATGCTGAATAAAAGGCGATGATTTCATAGCCTTTATTTCGGAGGGATGCAAACACACATAAAAGTTATTTTTAGAATGATTCTATACGTATAGTCTCAAACAGACTCTCACTTGCTTTCTCCTTCTTTCTCTTCCCCTTTCTTCGCCGATAATGAGACTTTCTAATAAACAAAAAAAAAAACTTAATTAAAAATAATAATTAAAAGTCGGATCAACTTAGGGTTTTGTTCCTAATCCGGAGTCAGCGCTTATAACAAAAGCAGTAATAACGATAGAGCAAAGATTTTTATATTTCTCTTATACGGTTTCCTTTGTTAAATAATTAGCAAATAATGGAAGACGTATGCATGGCTGATGTCTTATTTCATTCCAACCAAGAAGTTATTTCTTTATAAGAAAAGTGAAAGTTCCAAAAACTTTGTCTACACCTTGGCGGAATTCAAATTGCACAATGACTTTTCTTTCTAGTTTGCTGTTACAACCTATAAAATCTTTCCTCAGACTTACCGTCAGTCGTGAGCGGGTTCAATTGTTTGCTTGAATATCACAAAGCTCTTTTAGTATCTTAGCTACAAATCACATATGCGCTATCAGCTTACCATTACCTTGAAATGCTCGCTTGAGCTGCATTAATCTTTAATCTCTAAATCATCCAATCCCGGTGTAAATAGCCAAAAACGTACTAATAACTCGTTGTTATGAATATCAGGCCAAAGTTTTTACTTTTATTTCTTCTTCAATAAGACGAACAATTTACATAGTATACTCGATAGTAAGCTTTACTGACAAATACAAATGTTTACGAAAATATCAAGTCGATATCGTTGAGTGCTATCTAAATCATGCATATAGAGAGTTTTAAAATACTAATTGAGGGATTTTGAAATAGATAAAGGGAGATATATATGAATTTGTGTGAGCTAGCAGAAGAAAACTTGGACCAGATCTAATTCTAAGTCCCCGTGTCGTCCTCAGCTCGATCAGATAGGCCATCACGTTGGCTCCACGCGTTTACTTTATATTTTGTCTGTTTGTTTACTACTGACGTTTTAGTTTATAAAACTCAATAGTTTACCATAGCTGTCCTCTAAAGTAAGGGTATGTTTTTTCTATCATTGTACAGCAGCTTTTTCGAATGTTTTATCAAGAACATATATAAACTACTTACCACTTTGCTCTGGCCAAAATTGTGCCCGTAGGATTTATTTTCCGATTCCGCACGTGTAATTAAAGCGTAGGTTTGTTTTGTCGGCGTGTCTAGTGCTCTATCTCAATATAGCGTTTTTAGTAGCTTCTGGTCTACGCCCACGCAAAAGTCTATGGTGACCGCCAGACTGTTATTCGTTGTCGCATTGACGGGTATCAAAAGTCTTATCGCATGCAAATAAGAATACTTGATATTATTATGCGCCGAGGTAAGGCTGCGGTAATGATGTAAGACGGTAGAATTTGTTGTTTAGTGTGACATGATAATATAAACTAAACTTTCCATAGTCGTAGCGCTGATTTGTTTAGACTAGTACTGGTACGAACAAAAAACATCTTACAATTTAAATGAAATTTATAGTACTATAGGTTATGGGTAACTGATTATTGTAGCTACAATCGAGATTTCTTTTTTCACGTTACACTTTTAAAGAAAGAGAGGCAGAGAAGGAAAGAAAGAAAGAAAGAAGGAAGGAAAGAAAGGAAGAAA